GAAGGCGGGGAGCGATGGGGATCGCGGAGGTGCAGCGATGGCGATCGCTCGGGAGGGGGGGAAGGAGGAGGACGAGCAAGCTGCTTTAATTGGTTTACGCCGTTTTTGGCGCCAACTGCTTTAACAGTTTTAACGTCGTTTTGGGCGGACGGGGGACAGTGGGAAGTGGAGGGGGAGAGCGATGGCGATCGCTGGGAGGGGACAGTAGGAAGTGGAGGAGGAGAGCGATAGCGATCGCTGGGAGGACGAGGAGGACAGCGATAGCAATAGCGATCGCTGATCGCCGCGCGCTGCTCCAGCTCGCGGGGGCGCCGCCGCGCCGCCGCGCCGCGCGCCGCCGCGCCGCGCGCCGCCGCGCGCCGCCGCGATGGAGGAGGCGCGGGGGGCTCGCGCGCGGGCGCTGGACCGCCAGGTCGGCACCTTGCTGGCGCAGCTCGCGGAGGCGGAGACCTCCTCCTCCCAGCGATCGTTATCGCTCTCCCCCGCCTCCTCCTCCGCGTCCTTCCCTTCCTCCCCATCCATCGCCTTCCTCCCCTTCCTCCCTTTCCTCCTCTCCTCCCCCCCTCCCCTTCCTCCCCTTCCTCCTCCCCTTCCTCCCCTTCCTCCCCTTCCTCCCCTCCTCCCCTCCTCCTCCCCCTCCCCTTCCCCCTTCTTTCTCCCCCCCCTCTCCTTCCTCCCCTCCCTCCTCCTCCTCCTCCTCCTCCTCCTCCCCCCCCCTCCCCCCCTCCTCCCCCTCCTCCCCTCGCCCTCCTCCTCCTCCCAGCGATCGTTATCGCTCTCCCCCGCCTCAGGCCGTCAGCGCTCAGCAGACGGAGCGGGCCCGCCAGCTCTCGCAATGGCTTGGCGAGGCGGGATGCGACGACGACGACGGCGACGACGAACGAGGCGGAGGCGGAGCTGAAGAAGGCGATCGAGGAGAGGGGCGCGGCGCTGAAGCGGGAGACGGCGCTGAGGGGCGAGAGGGGCAAGTTGCCGAAGGAGAAGGGGGAGAAGGCGAGGGCGAAGGCGGAGAAAAAGAAACAGAAAAAGGAGAAGAAGGAGAAGAAGGAGAGGGGGGCGGCGGCGAAGGGGGCGGAGGCGAAGGCCAAGGCGAAGCCGAAGGGCAAGGGCCGCGCGAAGGCAGAGGGCAAGACGTGAGCGCCGCGCCTCCCCCCCCCCCTCCCCCCTCCCCCCTCAAGCAACAGTTAGGAATACTTATGAGTAACTTATATGTACCCCTTAAGTAACTTACAGCGTGTGCGCTATGGTAACGTATAAGTAACTTATATTTAACTCCGGTAAGTAGCATGCGTACAACTAAGATACTTAGCCTACATATAGCTAGGGTGCAAGTACGCTTAAGATCTTGAAGCCTTTAAGCGTTTTCAACGCATCCAGCTTTACATCGCCCGTTTGAAATACATCCGGTTTTCGCCCCCCCAGATCCCACGCGAATCGCGCAGAGCAGGGGCGGGCGAGACCGAAGCGGACGAAACAGAAGCGGACGAAACAAAAACGCACGAAACAAAAGCGGACGAAACGAAAGCGGACGAAACAAAATTCGGACGAAACAGCGGCAGACGAAAAAACGCGGACGAAACAAAAGCGGACAAACAAAAGTGGGCGAAACAAAACTCCGCCGAACGCCCCCCCCCTTTCCAGAATTGTTCGATGGGCCCAAAGAGTCCCCCCTGCGCCCCCTCCCCCCAGTTCGGACACCGCGGCGACGCGGAGGAAGAGGAGGACGACGACGACCACGACGACGACGACCCCGACGCCGACGCCGACGCCGACGACGCCAACGCTGATGACGCCGACGACGCCGACGACGCCGACGACAATGACGACGACGACGACGGCGAAGACGACGAAGACCACAGCGACGACACCAACGACGACGCCGACGACGACGATCGAGCCTTAGTGAGATGCGATAACACTTGGATCTAGCCCTCGTAGGGTTTCATAATAGCTGGATCGAGCCCTCATAGGATTCTATTACAGCTGGACCCAGCCGTCGTATGATCCTATTAGAGCTGGATCAAACGATAGGCGGGCGGACCCCCAATCGGATTCCATCAGAACTCGGTCGAGCCTAGCTGGATCCTTACCGAAGTTCATCGACCGCTGAAGGGGCGTCGTTCAGGTTGGGTGGAGCTTGAGCAAGATTCTGTTACAGCTGGAGTGAGCCCGAGTAGGATTCGATTAGAGTTGAATGCAGTCCTATATCAGTTGTATCAGAGCTAGATCCAGCTTCAGTGGGGCCCCTTTAGAACTAGATCGGTCCCTGGTGAGTTTCTTTTGAACTGGACGTAAGCATCGTAGGATCCTATGAGAGCTGGATCGGGCCCGATGGGATTCGATACGAGCGGGATCCATACCTAGGATTGCGTTGAAGGTGGGTTGAGCCTCAGTTGAAACCCATGAGAGCTGGACCCGGCTGATCTGGAGTCAACCTTAGTAGGGTTCTATCAAAGCTGAGTCGAGCCTTTGTAAGACTTCATTCGAGCTTGAACGAACCCTCGTAGGATTGTATGAGAGCTGGATCCAGCCTTTTTTGGTGGATCCGGGCCGAGCCCTAGCAGGATTCAAAAAGTGCTGGGTCGACCCGTCGTAGCATTCTATCAGAGCCGGCGTCTGGTGCGGGCGCCAGCGACAGATACGCCGCCGCTGACGTTGTCGCCGTCGTCGGCGTCATCGTCGTCGTCGTCGTCGTCGTTGCCCGATGGGGTGGGGGTAGGGTTTGGGGCACCTCGAACACTCTTCGCGGGGCGGGAAGGAGGAGGTGGACCGGACCGTGAGCCCCTCCAGGTACTTCTCCTGCGGGGAGGGTTCGGACCCCCTAAAACGACGCGAAGATCGGGACAATATCGGATCGGGGTAACTCGAAATCTTTGAGAATCGGCGGGTTTGGAGGATGTATTGGGCGCCGCGGCCGCTCCAGAGCGTTCCGGAACGCTCTGAGAGCGCTCCGGAACGCTCTGGAACGATTTATCCCGATCCTAGCCTTGTTTTGCCCCCCCCGGTTTTTTCCGGGCGGGGGGGGGGGGGCGGGTTCTTTGCTGTCTGCCCCCATCGGATTTTCTCATGGACGAGAGGTGAGGAGCCAGTGGTTTCTGACCCCCTTTTTATGGAACTGTTTCAGGCGAGTGGCGGTGGATCGCGTTCCCTTGGTTGACGGTATCGGAGTATATTTCCAGATTGAGGCTGAGGGCGAGCAGCATTATTCCCTACCCAGGCTCTGCCTAGAAGGGTGCTTACTCGGCACGCTTAAAGGGCCGGGCAGCGGAACCCGCCCCGGGCGGTTCCCCCAGGATCCGCCCCGCGGTTCCCCCGGCATCCACCCCGCGGTTCCCCCGGTCGCGCCCCTGCTTAGCTTAGCTTAGCCTAGCCTAGCTTAGCTTAGCTTAGCTTAGCTTAGCTTAGCTTAGCTTAGCTTAGCTTATCTCATCTTCGCTTAGCTTAGCCTAGCTTAGCTTAGCTTAGCTTAGTTTAGCTTAGTTTAACCTATCTCATCTTAGCTTAGCTTAGTCCAGCCAAGTTTCGCTCATCTTAGCTTAGTTAGCTTAGCTTAGCTTAGCTTAGCTTAGCTTAGCTTAACTTACCTTAGCTTAGCTTAGCATAGCTCAGCTTATCTTAGCCTAGCTTTGCTTATCTCATATTCGCTTAGCTTGGCCTAGCTTAGCTTACCTTAGCCTAGCCTAGCTTAGTTTAGCTCAGCCTAGCTCAGCTTAGCTTAGCTTAGCTTAGCTTAGATTAGCTCATCTTAGTTTAGCTTAGCTTAGCTTACCTTAGGTTAGTTTAGCTTAGCTTAGTTTAGCTTATATCATCTTAGCTTAGCATAGCTTAGCTTAGCCTAGCCTCGCCTAGTTTTGCTTAGCTTAGCTTAGTTTCGCTTAGCTTAGCTTAGCCTAGCTTCTCTCATTTTAGCGTAGCTGGGCTTGGCTATCTTAGCCTGGCTTGGCTTAGCTTAGCTGAGCTGAGCTGAGCTTAGCTTAGCTTAGCTTAGCTTAGCTTAGCTTCGCTTATGCTGCGTTCCTAGTGGCTCCAGCTCCCAGGTCGGGTCGCACTGGGGTAATTGAAGTTAAAAAGATCACGCAGCGTTGTCGACGTGAGTAGTAGTCGGCAAGCAGCGGCAGCGCGAAATTGTACACCTCATGCGTCAGTACGCGTGTTCGGCCGTTGCATGGCATCGCGCGCGTTGTTTGCGTGCATCCAGTGGGTGGCATGCTTTCCACGCCAAGTGCTACAGCCAAACAGGTTTTCCTGTTATGGTCCTAGCTGCCGTTTACGCGTTTCGCACCAGCTGTGTTTGCTTCGGGTTGGCCCCAGTGCGCGCGCCTGCACGGCGCCACCTTTCTCGACATTGAACTCCCCATGCGGTTTCGTCGGGTGTACTTTCAAGGTTCTTCTTCGTGACCGATGCGATTATTTTTCATTCGGGTTTCAAGATTGTCCCGTTCGGGGGTTCGCTTCGGCTTGTGCCTGAGCAGATGAGCAGTGATTGGTCCTGAACGGGTACCAACACTAGGGGAAAAGACAACATTGCAAACAATTCCCAGATGTTTGCTCAGCTGCACGTTTTGCCTTAACACTTGGGCGCCCAGGCACGGGTGAAACGCGCGGCCGCCGAGGGACACCTTTCCTCATCCCCCCCTCTTCCCACCACCGCGACATGTCGCCGCGCAGCGGCCCTCCTTCCAGATTCAGCTTGCATGCGTTGGGCGCGTGTCGGTGACGTTTTCGGCCAGGTCGTTGAAAAGGCACTAGCCGCCAACGGTGCCCCTGCCCTGCAGCATCTCCCCACCTGGCGGCCGGCGGCGTGAAACAGCGCAGGCGGGCGCAGCTGCGAAGGCCAGCCGCAGCGCCGCCGCCACGGGGGGCCCGCGCCCGCCGCGGACGCCCGCCGCTCCACGGCGGCGGCCGCGCCACGGCGGCGGGACCACGGCGGCGCGGGCGGCGGCCAGCGGCAACTCCGCAGCGCACGCGGCGGCCCTTGCAAAGAGCGACCCCGCCCGCAGGGAAGTACCGCCCCGGGGGGCCGCCGCCGCCGTGGGGCCGCTCCGGCGGCGAGCCGCGGCCCTTCGGCGCCGCGCTGGACGGGGACCCCGCGGCGCTCGGGGAGCTGCTCGACGCCATGTGGCGCGTGGGCCAGCGGCGCCCACCGTGGAAGGGGGGGAGGAGGAGGAAGAGGAGGAGGAGGAGGAGGAGGAGGAGGAGGAAGAGGAGGAGGAGGAAGAGGAGGAGGAGGAGGAGGAGGAGGAGGAGGGTATGGTATGGTGTTGCTCTTGCGGAGGGGTGTTCTTGAGACAGTTTTGGTCGCGTGGGGGTGGGGCTGGCCCAGAGGGCTGGTTCGGGCTGGCAGGAGGCCCAGCCTGGCAGGGGCAATCTTGAGACAGGCGGTGCGTCTTCGAGGTTTCTCTGCCTCTTCGGCGCTTTCGCAGGCCGAAGGGTCGCCAATTAACGACTGCATATGAAATGCCTCGGGGTCCACGACCGACGTCGTCCGAAGGCGTCCGAAGAATGTCGAAAGCTTCAGCAGGGCCCCGGGAGGCCTGCCCGTCCAGGTCGTATCGTACCGACATTACCTGATTATGTATTCCAGACAGCCAGGTAAGTTGGTACGGCTTGAGAGGTCACCCCGACGTTTCAAGTCGCACCAAGTTGCCAGACTGTCGGTCAGGCCGAGATTATCCGCAGATGTCCGAAGACTTCCCTGCTCATTTCCGCGCCCAGAGTCGACGATCCCCACCACGTGTGCTAGCCCAAGCGTGCGTTCATCCCGTTCGGCTCCGCCAGTTGCGCGCAGCTTGTGTCGGCCCTCGTTGCGCGTCCTTCGCGTCGTGTGGAAGGGCCTGGGTCGGACGCGGCCAGGATGAGGGTAAAACCCGTTCCAGGGCGTGCCCGAACGCTCTCAGAGCGTCCCGGAACGCTCGGAGAAGGCCGCGGCGCCTGAGACATCCTCCAGAGCCGCCGGACCTCAGAGATTCCCCTATCTGATTTTCTTCGCCCGATTTTGTCGTCCTGGCTCCGTCTTCCTCGGCGGGCCAAGCGCACGCCGGAGCTGGCACGCGTCCCGAGGATCCTCGAGACGATACGGCACAGGAGGAACAGGGCTGACGGATGAAGGCAGGTGGGGAGTTCGACAAAGGCGGAGTACGTGGAGCCTCCTCCTCCTCCTTCTCCTTCTCTTCCTCCTCCTCCTCCTCCTCCTCCTCCTCCTCCTCCTCCTCCTCCTAGCCTTTTCAAAACGGTCTTCCTGCGGAAAAAAAACATCATTTCATCTCTTATGCACCCCTGAGACAGCCAGCGAGAGAGGTGCGGCGGGCGCACCGTGGCGCAGGTGGCCCTCAACTGGGTGCTGGCCCAGGGCGCGGTGCCTCTGCCCGGCGCCAGGGACGCCGCGCAGGCTCGGGGGGGCGGCGGGCCGACCGACGGGGCGGCCAAGAGGGGGTGACGGCTACAACCCTCGTCAAAATTAACCTCAAAAATTCAGGAGGGAAAGAAACACACAGACACAGTTAATCGTCGAGTGCCAGGAAAATATGGGAAAAGATGGGAATTGGGCGGGGAGGCAAAAATCCAGAAAATATGGGAAAATATGGGGAATCTTTTTATTTGTGTGTATTTATTTGTGTGTTCCAGTTCCCCTTCAAAAATGTCTGACGTGGTTGAACTGCTTGTCGGAAGATCTGGGGCCGAGTACCGACGAGTGCGGGGTACTTGCGTGCGCCGCCCCTCCCATGTTGGTCGACGTCGAACTTTCGAGTCCACTTCGGTCAGACTATCTTTGCCCTCGCCCCGACGTTGATGGGGCGGCGTGTCGACATTGAGGGGCGCGCCGAAATCGAAATGACGTGCCAGCAACTTTTGAGGTTAATTTTGACGAGGGTAGTAGGGTCAGGTCGGGCCGCCTGTCCCCCTACAGGGGGATGTTCGACGAAAAATTAAAAATACCAAAAAAATGGTCAAACAATAATCCCAAAATAGTCTGGGGGCTGTTTTGGGGGTCTTCTTTTTCCTTGTTGGAGCATTTTTAGGGTATTTTGCATTTTTCGTCGAAAATCCCCCTGTAGGGGGACACGCCCGACTTAAGGCTAGGGTGGGGTGGGTATCATGGCGGGGGTCGTGATATCTCCCCAGATTTCATGGCGCCTCTTCTTATTTCCAGACGTCCCTGGCACCCCCCCCTGGGCCGCGCACATGCCGCCAGCCATGATTTGCGCCCCCTCCCTCTTGGACACCTCCCTGTTGGTCGCCCCCGAGAACAAAGGGGCGTGCGGCAGCTTTCTAAGAGTCGTCGTCGTCGTCGTCGGCGTCGGCGTCGGCGTCGGCGTCGGCTTCGGCGTCGTCGTCGTCGTCGTCGGCGTCGTCGCCGGCGTCAACCACCGCGCTGCCACGTGGACGCGGCCTCATGTTTAACACACGGGCGGTCGCCGCGAAGTGCAACAACAAGTGGTTGAATCTTTCAAACGGCCCACAAATTGAATGGGCGTGCGCAAGTCATCGCCGCTGATTCCG